ATATTGAATGCTTCAAACTTCCAAAATGCACTATTGACCACTTGGTAACTTTTTAATTGAGAGTACAATAAATTGTGTTTCATTCGATGAATACTCAAAAGGCTCAAATCTACCCACTAGCTGTTGGTAGGTCTTTCCATAATAAAAGAAAGAAAAGTCGCCGCTGCTATTATTTGCTTTTGTCTGTTTCATTTTGGTAATTTAATATTTGACTAATTAATTAACAAAGTCAACTTTCCAGGGAAATAATTACTAAATTTACTGTAGGGCAAGTACAGTTTTATTAATGTTATTTAAATCTTCACAACTGGAATAAAAAAAGAAAAAAATTACGATATAAATAAGTTGTGTAATTAAAAAGAGTTAAATACATTTTTATCTCCAAAATTTGATATTATTTAGTTTTAGTCTTTTAAAAAAATTTCTTGACTTTAGTCCTCCAAATTTATATAATATCTATTTTTAATCATTTTTTAAATATTATTAATTTTTACTCTTAAAATAGGTCATCTTAACATCTAAATTTCCATAAATTTTTATTATTTAAAATACTAATTATTTTATGATTAAGTTAATATTTATAGTAAAAAATAATTTTAGATCTAGAATTTTTCATTATTTACTTTCGAATTCAAACGTGTAAAGATTCTAGAAGTGCTTTATTTTGCTTTCACTCTCAGCGGAAAAAGCCAATGACCTCTTGTTTCTAAAAGGTATCTTGAAGCTCATAGAGGAAGAAGAATGAACATTGCTTAGAGTAATTAGGGCATTAAGATTTAGGGTGAAACAATGTCATCAAAATTTGAGAATTTAGAACTTAGAGGATTGCCAATAAAGGTGTAAAACTAAATGTTTATGGACATGATGATGATGATGGTAGAGAAAAAATAAACCTTGCTTTTAGTTTATGAGAAGATTTTATTATAGTTTTGTGGGAGACTCTTTGTTCAAGTTAAAAAATTTAAATGTAAAATTAGTTTTTACTTTAAATCTTAACTTAATCATAAAATAATTAATATTTTAAATTAGTTTTTACTTTAACTTAAAATATTAATTATTTTAAGGTTAAGTTAAGTTTTAGGATAAAAACTAATATTATACTTAAAACTTTTTACTATTTACTCTCGGACCCAAACATAGAGATTTTAGAAGTGCTCTATTTTGCTTTTTGTTTCTCTATTTTACTTTCACCCTCACTAGATGAAGCCAATTAACCTCTCGTTTTAGAAATGTAATACCTTGAAGCTTGAGGAGGAGGAAGAATGAACGTTTTTAGAGTAATTAGTGTGTTGAGATTTAGGATAAAATGATATCACAAAAAATTAGGAATTATTTGTAGCTTAGAAGATTGGGCATGAAACTAAATATTTATGGACATGGTGATGATGGTGGAGAAAAAAACTTTACTTTGTGAAATAATTTTATTATGATTTGGTAAGAGACTCTTTATTTAAGTAAAAAAAGAATTACTAGAACCTTAATACCTACATCTAATAGTGAATAATAAAAATTAGTTTTTATTCTAAAACTTAACTCTAAAATAATTAATATTTTAAATTAAAAAAATTTCATGTCAATAAAATTTATAGTAACTTGGATGTTAAGATAGTCTACTTTAATAGAAAAAGTTAACAATATTTAAAAATAATTAAAAATAAATATTATATAAATTTGAAGAACTAAAATTAAGATTTTTTTACATACTAAAATTAAATAGAATCAATTTTTGAAAGACAAAAATGTATTTAACACTTAAAAAAATATTATGATAATTTTAAGAAAAATAATATTATTATATTTTGCTTTCCTTGCTTTTTTTCACTAATCTAATCGGTACCTTGAAGTCGCAATCACGATTATACAATTGATATAATATTGTGACAAGTAGTGATCTGAAACTTAAACTAAAAGTATCTGGTTGTGAATGTAGTACACTCCTAGCTAGTAAATTAATATTACCAACTCTATGCTTTAAAATTTCAAATTGCATTAATCATACCACTTAGTAGACAAACATTTTGTGATGGGTACAATCAATTGTCTTTCATGATTTCTTTCAAAGGATTATGGAATCCACCCACACATTCTTATTGGTAAGTCTTCTCATAAATTTGTTAAAGCAATTTCTAAAAGATATATTTACGGTGTTAAAAAAAAATATATATATATATATATATATATGTTGTTTAGTTTAATAAAAGAGACTTATATATCTTAAAAAAACAAATAAAAGATAAATACTAAATTTAGGTTGATTTACCAATTAATTTTTACCATAAAAATATTAAATTAGAGAATATTTTACGAAAAGTTAAATCTTAATTATATTTTTTCCTTTCTAAAAAGCACTCTTAAGTTTAATGTTAGATTTATTATACTCTTAAATTTCTTATGTAATATAAATGCTTTTAACTTGCCCACAGGATATAATAATAAAAGTTTTAAAATAAAATAATTATTATACCAAAAATTAAAAACATAATTTTAACAAAATATATAATATTTATATATATAAGATGCATGTAGTAATGTACTCATAAAAACGCGTAGATCAACTCGTTAGTCTTTTATTAATTAATAAAAAATTATAAACAAAAATTGTGAATGTATAAAGTTATATAATAATTTTAAATATGATTCAGTACTCAGCATAAGTTAGGTGGAAGGTTAGTTATACCTGATCATAATAATATACATATATACTAATGATCGACTTGCAGAGATTTGCGAGCTGGAGCTGAATGGTATGCATTGCAGAGTGTAGATGAAGAAAATACATAATTATATATGGTTCTTATATGAACATCATCTGATGATTCTTTCTTTGGTGGGTGAGATTAGAGATATTTGCATGTCTTCAGTTTGTTTACTCGTTATTCTGCTCTTATAACGTATGCAATAATTCCAAATGAACAAGCTATGCAAGTACATATATCCGTAGTAGACAAGAGTTAAATAAAGGTGTTTTTCAAGTTGATTTATTTCTATGTACAGATTAAAGAATAGATGAAACTGGAATTGATTTATTTTATTTGGATCAGGAAGTCTGAAATCTGAACACAGCATAAAAAAAGGTACTTTATTATATATAATTATCGTCGAATTGTTTCTTTTTTAGATAGCGCCCTACTGCGGTATTACAAATTTGTGTGAGTAAAATACTAAATATTACCTTAGATTAGTAAAAATCAAACTGCATCTTACTTTTATTTTTAACATTAATTTCATATAAGAATTTATTATCAAACAAAACTCAAATATAGTATTATGGATATTATTTTTTGTATAAGATTTATATCATATTTTGTTAACTGATATTTTTATCTCAATAATTAAAATTAATAATTATTGAGATAAAATTAAAGTAATATTTAATAAGTAGAGGTGACCAATGACCATGGATATATCGATCTAATCCAACCAACTTGACTTGACTCGAAAAAAAAAAAAAAACAAATTAGATTGGTTCACAAGTTTTGATTGAGTTAGATTTATATGAATCTAAATAAATCGGATGGGGCATCACATTTATCAACATCATACCTAATTCAATAGTGGACATATAAAAAATAATAATGCATTATTCAGTAAAAAGAAATCACGTACTGTTATTTGTAATTTTTTTAATCGAATAATTCTATCAATTTTCTTTTGTAGTTTAACATTTTAACTTATCTGAAAATCTGACATAATTATTTTTATTGAATTGAATTTATAATTTTAAAATTTCATCAAACATATATAGAGTGAATACTTAATTAATTTGATTCTTGAAAGATGGTAGAGATCATCAATAAGTTTGTAAAAGATTATTTTTGTGACATCTAAGTCTATAAATTTTAATTATGTGATGCAAGTTAATGTTAATCAATTTATTATATTTAGTTTCTTGAACAATTAAAAATTATTTTTTATTAGTTTTTTTTGAACAATTAGCAATTAAGTGTCAAGTTGACATTTTATTCTCTCTTTTAATTGGTTGTTTCCTCCTAATCATCTAATATGAATTATAATACAAGATTTTTATATGGGGTATTCTTGACTATGGGTATTCTGATTAAAATGAAAGGTTGTTATTTTGTTTCATATGTTTTTTGTAATTAGATTTTTCTATCTTAGTTATCTTTAATTTTTTTGTTTGTTCTAGTTACATGTTTAGGATTATAAATCCTAAATTATTGAATTTGAAGTTTAACAAAAATAAGTGATCATTATAAAAGATCTCAAGCAAAAATGTGTTAATCATTGGGCTTTTGACCTCCCTTAAATAAAAAAAAAATGTCAATCAAATATGGGTGTTTTTGTTGTGTTAAATGAATTGTAAAACTCTATTGATTAAAGTGGGAAAGAACTTAATGATAATGATCCTCTGTATTAAATGGAGAGAGAATATATGTCAACATAATAATTAACAGCTAAGTAGTCATGAAACAAATAAATTTAGTAACTAAACATTAAAAAAAAAGTTAACTTATATAATAGAGATAAAAATTAATATATTATTTCTAATTTAATTAGTAACTTTTAAAGATCTATCAATTATTATCACGTCTGACATTTTTCAAGGATCAAATTAAATATTTATTCATCATATACCAGATTTTTATCTTTAATTATGGGTTTCTATTAAATATATTTTTTTTTCTTTCATATCATTAATTTAATGTACACTCAAATTTCTTCCATCTTATCCATTCAATTTCTGTCCAATGCTTTCATATTTTTTTTTCACTCCATTTGTTACATCTATCACTTTTCTTTTCTCTATTTTTTTCTTACGATATGCCTTTTATTCATGTCAATGATCATTAGTATTATCTTTATTAATTTTTGATTGGTTAATTAAATATGTGGATAGAAAATAAAAGGGGTTGACTTGATCAAAGGGGTGAACGTGGCCACGCGAAGCATAGGGTTGTTTATGATACGTCACTCACTCCGCTCTTCTCTCTCTTCTCATCCGTACGTCCTCTCTCCATATAAACCCAACACCACTCTCTTTCTTTTCATTCATTCCCACTATCTTTCTTTTCATATATCCTTCTTCAAACAAAACAAAAACATATATATTAAAGATGATGTACGAGGTGGAACAGCAACGGTTTGAGCAACCTTTGGCAAAGATTGAGACGAGGAAGAAGACGGAAAGAAGTAAAGGCACAGGCATAGAGGAAGAGAGGCTTGAAATTGTCGACTTGAGTTCCATGTCCTTAGACTCCCTTCCCAACCCTTCTCTCAATTTAGCCACCATTTGCAAGTTGGACCTCTCCAATAACAATCTTCAGGTACCTCCATGCATGCACATATATCAATTTTCTCTTACATCAATTCAAACATACATATATCATTTCCTTCATTATCTATGCATATTATAATCAAACACATACATATATCATTTTAATCCAGACTTAATTACTTTATTTCTCTTATAATAAATGTCTTATTTTAATTTTTTTTTAAAATAAGTGTCGTATTAATTTTTAATATAATATTAATTACTTTTTCTTCTTCTCCTTTGATATTCTCATAATATTTTTTTTTAAAAAAAATTATTATGTTGCATCGCTTCTAACAAATAAAATTATAAATTTAATTTTGTAAAATTATTATTTTCTTTTAATTATTTATTAATTTTTCTCGATCCGTCTAAAACAACTTAAGAAGTTGCTATGGAACAAGAGAAATATATTACAACCTCAATGAGTCGATATCAATGATTTTTCTTCATTTTTTTTAATGTTTTTGAATAAAATGTCATGTGTTTGTCATACGTCTGTATTTATGTTTGGAAGCCCGTTTTTCCAGGTTCTGGGTGTAAGGTTCATTTTCAAAGTATACATTATGGAGACTTCAAAAAAATGAATATTTTTATAGCACGGGTTATACATGGGGTTGTTTTTATATAGGTTATCACCTTCCTCCAACTACAGATATAGTGCTATGGAGAAGTTTCCGTTGCACCTTTAATTTGCACTTATGTTTCCACATAACGTACAGATAATTAAAGGGGCAACTACTTATCAGATATTATCATATGTTAATATTGTATGGGGTTGTATTTGGAGTATATATTTATTTTCACCTCTTTTTTTTATTTATTTATAATCATCGTCTATATATATATACGTTTAGTTTATAATTTCTTTGAGCAATCATTTACTGAAGAGGGAGAAATGTGAAATAAGATCGCATATGTCTTTAAAAAGATAAAGACAAAAATATAATATTATAAAACTATTACTATATGTTTTGTGTATATATACGTCTCTTCTTGGCTAATTGAACGCGTACATGTTAGAGTGTATATTAATTAATAATAGAATAAAAAGAAAAAGAAAACAAGTAGCATTAGGTAATTAATAGGATTATATTTGCGGGTTAGTTAATTAGCTAGCAGCCATATATAAGTTAATTAAATGAATCTGAAGTGGTTGTCGTTTGATTAAATAATATTGTGACAGAATATACCGGAGTCCTTAACGGCGAGACTTCTGAACATGGTGGTGTTGGATGTGCACTCCAACCAGCTTAGGTCACTTCCGAATTCTATTGGCTGTCTCTCTAAGCTCAAGATTTTGAATGTCTCTGGCAACCTCATCGAATATCTTCCCAAATCAATTGAAAATTGCAGGTAATTCAATTCATCTTCTTTTATTTCTCTTTCTACTTTTCCTAGCAAATAATTAAGTTAATTGCATGCATGTTGTTTCATACAATAATCTAATTAACAAATTCAATAGAATTGCATATTTTAATTATAGGAAAAGGTTAATATAACCCGTACCAAGACGGGTACAGAGAGAGAGAGGGGAAACAACAAACATAAATGTACATTATTGATTATGTGATTTAAGTCCGTGTTTTAAAAACCAATGAATTGATAATATGTTTTCAATTTAAATAGCATCTAAGTCAAATCTAATCACAGTTTAATAATTAATTTAACTTATCAAACCGTGACTTAAATATCTTTTTGATTCGATTTTTAATTAAAATATTCATACAGTTCGCTACCTCTATATATATAAAGCAGCTTAGGTTAGTCAAACAATACACATAGTGCACGAAACAGTCCGAAGCACTTGAATAAGTTGCTTTCCACCTTATGATATGTCGACTCTTTAATTTCTGTGTTTATGTGTTTTATTTTATTTATATTTTTTCTTCCTTTGATACTAGAGCATCAAGGATATCCATATATAAGAATACTCAAATCCTACATCATGATTAGATTCGAAAGCTTTATAAGTTATAGATTATTAAACATGTATTGATCATGATAGGGAATAAGCTAATTAAAGATATACCTACCCTATAATTTTTATAAAATAACTTGCTTTACTAAAATCATCAAAAAAAAATTGTTGAAATTTGTTATTTTGTTGACTATATATACAATAATTCAAATTCTGAGTTATAGATACTAATTGAATATTTTAGTTTCTAAAAACTTGAATGGTTAATATGTTGATCCATCAAATTAAAAAACTGAATGTATTAGCCTTTTGAATGGTTAACTACGAAATGTTGTACACACATAACTTGTAACTTTTTTGAACATAATTTTTTACTGATCAACGACGTATACCAATTTAGAATTAACAATATATATTATGTGATTGGTAAAGACTGAATATTCAAATATGATATTGTATAACTGTTCTTTTTAATCACTTAATGTTGCAAATTATACTTTTATATAAATAACAAGAACGAAGAGTAATATTAGAAAAAAAGTATATATATATATATATATATATATATACACTAAAT